TACGAATTTATAGAGAAAAAATTTTAAAATCCATGCCAATACGAGAAATAATATTCCCATCTAATATTGGCACACTAATTTCACGGTAGTTTTTATCTCCTCTTCGAATTTTATTAATATTTTCGTGTAAAGAGTTTCTCTTTTTTTTATCATTTCTATTCTCATTCATTGTTGTACATGCAACTCTATTCAGAATTATGCGTCAATGCCTAAAGGATCCACGTGCTTTTTCTTTATAACGAATCATATCATGACGTGAGTTGCAGCCACTTATAACGATGGCAAGAATGAATAAAATGCTATTGCTCTCCTTTGTACCTTAGGTATATTTATATGTGCAAATAACTTATAAATGTTATAAGCGTAAAATATTACCTGAAATAATCAAAAAATTTAAGTTCATTGTTTAAATACGATGCAAAGGTTCATCGTGGTCTGATTAGGGTTGAGAAGGCTTTGTAGGTTATAAAATTCCAATTTCTTTAACTTAATACTTTACCATTTTTTCGGAATTATGAAACTAGAACCGTCTGGAGCAGACACTAACCTCTCGACATAAAATATTTTTAGTTTACCTCTACTAACTAAAAAAATGAAAAGCTATAGAGTGAAGCTAGTTTAGCATACATAGGCGTATGTTACATGCTTTTTCCTTCTAGCATAGATTCCTTAAATTTATTCATATAGTTTTTATGATTTGGTTATCGAACTTGTGATTTACATAAATATACATATATTTTTATATAAATAACGTCAAATATATAAATAATATCACTCAATAAATCTCCGGTCTGACACCTACATGACAAGACCGTCGAGAGATCCAAATAATTTCTGGATAGTATCAGCCTTCAAAAGATATGTATCGCAATTTGATGATATCCCGATCGTCAGATTACAAATTATAATGTGAGGGTTTTTGTGAGGCTATTTTTGTAATTTTCAAAGCAACAGAAAAATCTGAACAGTAACAACGTTGCTTTTTGATAAGAAAAAGTACCGTTGACAATCAGCGTTAGTTTGAAAGGTGTTGTGGCGACTCTTGTGCCTGTTGGAAAGATAAATGGGGCATTGGAGTGATAAAAAAAAGGTACTCAACAGCACACACTGCGGTTAACTGCATTTTTGGGAAGGGAAAGAATAAAAGTGACTTAATTGCGATTGAAAAAATATTGAATATTTTCCATAAGCATTCTTAAGTAAAAATTTTCATATATTAGACCTTCATATTTACATTCCATTAAATCAAACACTTGTAACCTTTATTAAGGGGAAATAAAAAATTTCAACATTTCTTTAGAGCAACAAACTTTCACTGCGCATTTTTTGGGAGACGAATACCAAATATGCTTCACCATTTCAACTTTAAACTTTATTGCGTAAGCAAAAATGCAAAGAAAGCCAATGCAGATGCTTTACCCGTTTGTCACCGTTTGAGAGTTACAAACTGTAAAAGGTGTTCTAAAACACAGCTTTAAGGGCACACTAAATATGTTTACACCCTACGCCGCTTCCAGTACAAGGATATATTAACTTTGTGCGATTCTAGAAGGATTTGAGGCAGATTCAATTTTCAGAAACACTTTCTGAACTGATTTAAATTTGTTACTCTATATTTCCACTTGTCCGTCTTTTTGTTTTTTTTACTTGTTTTCAATCTACAGGCCGCAATTTTCGAGATATTTTAATGAAATTTGGTACACCGACGTGTTTTGGCCCAAGGATAAACGGTATTGCAATTAGTTCACTTCGAAACACGTTTTTGATCACTTTCCATAAAACAACTTATTCGTAAAAGTGGTTATAACTTCGTCGAATAAATTCGTTAATCGAAACAGAGTAGGATACTTATGGTGGACCGTAACTCACAATAACATTTTTACTTGTTTTACTGTAAATCAACGCGTAAATGATAGGTGAATACAAAGATTTACATTTAATCTTTTTTACTATAACAAGTTGTCTACGGTTCTAACAAAATTTATAATTATCGCTACCGGTAATAGTCGCTATCGTGTTTGCGAATTGCATAAGTTATTCCGGTGAAGCGTACATAGCATAGATTTGTTTACCATCCAATAAATGGAGTTTTCTTTAATGAGAAGCAAAACGATAGTTTTCTTGCTTAAGTTATTGGAAAGCAAATGCTGGTGAATCGTGACAAGTGATGAAGCACGAAAATGACATATTATTGGAAACCTTCAAGGAAACTTTGAATATCAGCTTTAAAGCCCGCATATCGATAGCATCGCGATTTAAGGGGTTTACCTGAGCGGTGTGTATTATGAGCTTTACGTTGAAGCTCTATCTTTAAGAAAACTACCAACAATAAATGGGTAGCAGAACGGAAGCGTAACTATCAAGTCGGCCCATCAGATGAATTAGGATTTGCGAATGGGGTATGTACATCCTTCAGACTTTGACAGGCACATCCTGTCCCTCCTCCCCTACTTTTTTCTCCCCAGCCATTACCGTATTTGTGCAGCTATGGGGAACATGCTCCATGTGACAAGTCATTAAAAAAAAAAAAAACAGAGTGGCAGAGTGATTGTTCAAATCAGTGGTACTCGGACTTATAAAAACTATCCTTCCGCGTAAAAAGATCAATTCTGAACTGATATATGTCGTGATGCTCGCTATATTCAGCCAATGAGTTATTATTTGTCTAAGCAAAAATCTCATTTTTATGACGATATCCAAAAAATGGTTGCTTGCGTAAAAAGTTTCAAAAGAAAACAAACAATTTTTGAACGTATAAGCCATATTCGATATCGAAAACATGAGAAAATTATGCAGCTAGCGTTTGTCAAAACGCCATCAAACGAATAAAACATTTTTTACCATTTACTGAAGATAAACTGCTTGTTTTTTTTTTCAGAGCAAAAAAACAAACTTGCAATTAAATCCCATTTTTTAACTTCCCTTTAGTTAGTTTGTTCCTACGAAAAAAGAAAAGAAAAGAAGAACAAGTAAAGTAAGAAAAGTAAGAAAATTATATTTGGTCATGAATGAATTTTTTACACCTATCATCGTGATCCCTAACAAAAGGAACAGAACACAATCTTCTTGCTCTATAGTATTAGACGGGCGCTGTGGATCTTTTCTATTCAAATATAAAAATGCAAAACAATATTGTGTACACTTTAGAGTAGAAAACAAAAAACACAGAAAACTAAGATGCCCACAGTTTTCGTTATATAGGATTGTGGACGTTGAAGGCTTTTCTTTGATATTTTCAAAATCTTTTGCAAGTTTATAAGCGATATATTCGTACTTACGAGTTTTATTTACCGCAAATACTAGACAGTTGGGCAGACGAACAGGTGAGCAGATAAATGGACGAACATGTTTATGTGCATTCCAAATTTGACATTAATCAAGAATTTATATACATCATAGGGCTTTTGAACTTAGCTTCTGTTCGTTGTAAGACTTTTGAAAAAAAAAAATGACTCTAAAACAGAATATAAAATGGGGTATGCGTGCCCGATTTTTTCTGTTTTTGTAGAAGTTCTGCAGAAGTTGTAGTTTTGTGAGCAATGAGCAAAAAAACAATTTTTTATTCCTTCTGAAAAGCCGATGTGTTCTTACTTTATGCAGTACTGTCGGGGTCTCCTTCCTTCATTTTTGGGACCTGGAGAATGTTTACAACAGACTTTACATAGATTGACAGACAAGCCGACGGCAAAAGGACAGACGAACGTGCTTAAATCGATTGAAAATTTGATACTGATCAAAAACTTGATGGGATCACTGAAGCGTCCGTGTAGGCGTTGCAAATGTTTTGACACAGTAAAGATAGCTTTCATCTTTCGATGATGCATATAAGAAAACAATGAATGCAAAGGAGACTTTTTGCAAGTTGTTGATCAAATTTATTTGAGAACATAACTCCACTGCAACGTTAGAGGTATATATTGTAATTTATGTGTGAGGTGCATAATAACATTTTGTAATTTTTGAAAAAAATCCTTTATATTTCGCTCCCCGAAGGAACGTGTTATCTTTCTTCGCTTTTTCTTCTAACGAAATCTTACGTAATCTGATCGCTTTTAAGTAAATTTTATTTTAAAAAAAATTTTTTTTGAATTGTTGGAAACTCATCAACAACTCCAATGCGCATCCGTTACGCATTGTTTCTTTGGCTTCCGAAGTGATTTTTTGAACAACAGCTGACACTAAATTGAATTAACCATAAAATTGTTGCTTTTTTCAAGCAATAAAACGTAGATCTCCAAAAGAAAATAAAAGTTTTGCAAGAACTGCAATTTCCTAAACAAATGTGAATATATTTTCGTGTATTAAAAAAAGATTGTATATACATATATATATAAATATACAATACAAACAATGAAGACAAAATGCAAACGAAATGCAGTCTTACTCTATTGAGAATTGCTAGGATTGATAACTTGAGCTTGCCTTTCTGCTTGAGTTTCCCTATGCTTACCCTTTAGGAAGTGTTTTAATATCATAAAGTTATTTTTAACTGTAAAATATATTTTTTTTGTAGAAATGCATTTCCGATTACTCAGTCAATGTGTACATTTAGCAGAAGACAGCTCTTGCTTGATTAAATTCAAACTTTATTTTTGTTTTTTTAACTTTTATTACTTCATAATATTAAGAATTATTAATAATTTATTTTCTTTTGGTTTCTTTCTAGTTTACATTAATTTACAATTTAACAACTAGCTACTGCTGCAACAACAAGAACAACCACAACAACAACATCAACAAGAACAACAACAATTTATTGCTTAAGCAAACTTATTGAGTTCTGTTACTATAAGAAGAAGAAGAAGAAGAAGAAGAAGAAGAAGAAGAAGAGAAAAGAAAGGAAGAATATTTGTAAAGTCAATCAGCGACAAAGCCCGACACAGGAGAAAAGTTTAAAATTATTATTGAAAACCGGAACGTTTAGGAAAAGACGCATAAAAATTTTGCCCAAAAACAAAAAATAAAAACAATATCGTATAAATAGAAAAAATTCGAAATCTAGACAAAACATAGAAACAAAACAAAAGAAAACAAAATTAAACCTCAGAATCGGTAAAAAAATAGCTCGTTTCTAAGATTTCTTCAAAGTGGTATTAAAAAGGCTAACACCATGGATGAAACACAGCATTTTTGTTTGCGTTGGAATAATTACCAAAGCAGCATTACATCAGCATTTGAGAATTTAAGAGACGATGAGGATTTTGTGGATGTAACATTAGCCTGTGAAGGACGCAGCATTAAAGCTCACAGAGTCGTATTATCGGCATGCAGTCCATATTTCAGAGATTTGCTAAAAGTAAGTTAAAAACTTTCACATTTCATAATCTTAAAAGTAACTATATTAATTATAGTTAGTTAGACTATATTAGTTATTTTTGCGTTACTGTTGTAGTAAAATACTAAAACTTTAGTTGTTACCTGATAACCGCAATTGCGTGTCGAAATTGGTGTTTTTTTGCTTTTAAATATTTTCTTTAGAAAAAAAACGACGTTCTGCTAAATGAACTGAAAATGGTATAAAAGAAAAGAAAGGAACCATAAATAGTTTGCATTAGAGCGCATGAAGACGTCGAAGTTGCAGCGGTTGTATGCCATACCTTGCACAATTGTAAAAATAAACCAGTTATCAAGTTTTTATTCTTAGATAGCCTATGTATTATGTCTTGAATTTTTTGCGCCGCCCTCTCGCCCTTTTATTCAACTCGCCGCTGCCACCCGCCCATCCCACCATGTTAACTGGAACGGTCGACACTATTCTCTCAACAATAAAAAAAGCCTAAACAAGTAAATAATTTAACATTCAGCAACACTCAAATGCAGCGAAACACTATGCCTTTCTATTCAATGTTAAGTAAACTGAACTAAGAGCTCAACTATTTACTGCAGCACAAACAATTTGCGGTACATATTTGAATATTATATCTTTGTCCATAGGACTCTAAGCCTTGCCGTTAGCATTTATGCATTTTGTACAGGTTATGGCAGGCGAAGAGACAAGCAAAGGCCGTACATTAATAAATAGCACGAAAACCGCCAAAAAATTTTATAATACCAACTTTCGTAAATAATTTAAAGTGTAAGGAAAGCTTGACACGCACGTACATACATATACACTTCGATGGGGAGAGAATGCAGCGACATTGATATCCTCCTCATTTACGCCTCTTTAATGCATTTAGAAATTACCACACAGCTATAATAAAATAAAAAAAATGATAAAAATGAGATGGAAACAACAACAACGAAAAACCAAACTTCAAAAATTTCCTCTAACAATACTTTAGTTAGTCTATCGTGTTATCCTTCCGTCTTCAAGTTAGAGCTTTAGTGCTATAGCTTATGGCATGTGATGAGGAAATAATAAATATACAGTATATATATATATATATATATATATATATATACATATAGATATTTGTGCGCGTGTGTATGTATGTGTGTGTTATCTTTACTTTTCTGTCTACTTTCTATATCTGCAAACATTTTATTAATTAGGTTGCCATTAAAGTTTTGCGTGCCTTTTTGTTTGTTTATTTGTATATACACGTATATGTATGTGTGGTTAATATATTTTCATTTTACTTAAAATGCCTTCGAGTAAGACAGTAAAAAGACTTATTCACCATATATAACCAAAGTATTTACAAACTGCGGCAAGAAATCGCATAATATTTTGTCTAATGTAGAACAACAACAATACCATATATATATATATACGTGGATAGATCGCAACTTAATTTAGTATAAAGTTTCGTTTGTAATAAAAACTGAAGTAACTAAAATAAAGTTTAGCTGTGTCAGGCAATTTGACAAAACACAACAATTACACATCAGTATAAATGTACGTGCGTGTATGTGTGTTTGTGTGTATACTGTATAAGTAAATATATAACTCACATATAAAAACTATTTTAGAAAAAACAAATCATAAAAAATATCTGGTAAAGAAAGTTGTGCATAATGTGTTTGAACTAAAAGAAGAAAGCCCGCCTCATAATACCAACAAAAAAAGCTCTTTAACTAAATTACCCCGAACGGTAGTATTCTTATATTTTTCATAAAAAAATGCATTGCAACATTCTTCTCTTTAATGTAAAAAAATATGACAAGAAGAAACATATATATATATATATATATATATATATATATATAGACATAGATGTTTGCTAGAATCTTCACATAACGTAAATGTAAAATAAGTTTTAAACACTACTACGAATTGATAGGAAATGCTAAGTTAGTATGAACTATTCCTCGTTTTTTCCGCCTAATTCAATGATAAGATCACAAAATGGCGGCAGAAATGCTACTAACTCGGCACAGTTATAATCATTTATTTTATGTTGTATACTCCACAAGTCTCGCGAATTGGTTCACAAATGTCTCCCAAAAGACAAAGAGTGTATAAACTTGGAGGCTCTTTCAAAGCTACTTTTTTTTTCATTGAAACTATTTGTTGTCTATATATTAAATAATAATTTCATTGCATTTCATTTTCTAAATTTTTGAAAAATTCCATAAACTGATAGAAGTTGGTATCATTATACAAATTTATCAGGAGCGATGCGTGCAAACACAACGGGTTATTCAGGAGTAAACAGGCGCTTTCCGGAAAGTGTGACCATCCCTATAACCTAGAAGCCGCTCTACACCTGGAATTGGTATTCCAGATCGATCTAAAGTGTATGGCCAGAAATCCACACTGGAAAATGTTCGAGGTCTACTTGAAATTCATAATTTATAGCTCGCGCGTTTTTACCTGGTAGTCAGGGCTGATCACCGCTCATACCTAGATTTGCTAGACCTTCGCAACATATCTTGGTTATGCGTGGGCATGGCTCAAGCAATGGAATGCAAAAGATTCGCATAAGAACATGTGACTTAGCCTGAGTGGACGTCTTGATCCCCGTGGTACTTTCATTAAATTCTATAAAGTCTCTAATATTAGTTTACGCGATCCCATACGATACCTAATAGCTATCTTAACTGACACGACCAGCTCCATGCTCGGGGCAAATTAAATTGTCTTACTCCCATAGATTTGTATTTCTCCCATAGGTATATAGAAAAGTGATCTTTTATAAATAAAAAAAAACAACGTTTCCAGTTCAACTTGTAGGAACCTTTGGGGAAAGAAATTATTATCAAGTTATAGACAGTTAAGCTTTAAACTCTTTTTAGGCGACAATGTTATGATCCCTGTTCAGAGTTGACCAATACAATGGGTAGTAGTAATAATATTTAATTTAATATTTGTACATAAAAGTGGATCAGTGGGAATCGACAAAATGAAGGTCAGATTTAGTCAACAGCTGTTGTGACAGCCTTAAAAGAAAAGAAAACTATTTTCTGACAATTTTTTTGATAATAAGATGCGGGAAAATTGCTAGACATATATCTAGTTGTGGAAAAATATTTATTTATAAGGATCGTGAAAATATTGATTTTTTTACGAATAATGTTATATTTTCAAATGGAAAGATATTATTTTGGACCAAAAAAAGGCAATCTTTTATATATAAAAAATGCTGCAATCAATTTATTAAAAATGTCCTATGTCTTGTACGAGAGAAAGAGACGAAGGAAGAAAGAAAGAAAGAAAGAGACAGAGACAGACAGACAGACAGAGAGAGAAAGAGAGAGAGAGAGAGAGATAGAGGCAGAATGAAAGGGGAAGAGAAAGTTACTGTAAAGATATTTATCAAACCTTCAACTCGTTTAGCTCAAAAATCTTTTTTGACAAAAACGCTTCTAAAGTTCTGCAACGCAATCTCCCCAGGGACATGAGCAAAAGGTATGCGATTTTTAAATCCCCATATTTAGCCGAATAGGTAAGAATCGCGACTATCGACTGAGTATGCGCTGGTTCAAATCTCAATGCGGTAGAATTTACTTCGGTCGTAGTTACAGTGGATACTCAGTCGGTGAAAGCACAAAACTTACCGATTGTCCACACACCCGGTTGCGGACAGCATCTCCCTACTTCTTTCCTTTTTCCTCTTTCCTCACTTGTTTTTAATCACCAATGCGCGCCGCGAATAGGAGAGGTGCCCCGAAAAATGAATGAAAAAAAATATTGTTCGTCGTTCTGTCATGACAAAAAAAAACCGAAAGAAAATTTCTAAGCCTACAGTCGAATTCATAATCAAAGCTAAAAATTTCATTTTAAACTCTTAATATCCTAGCAGAAGCATTAAAAGCTTTCGTATCGATCTCAGCTGACATATTTTTACTAGGAAACGTTTTTATAAATGCTTTCTTTCCGGTTTTTATAAAAGCTTTCTACACGCTTTTTCTGTTCATGCGCGAATCATAGGAATTGGAAAGAATTAAGAAAGTAAGACCTTACGCTGCACCTTTTCCGAAAGAATTTAGCTAATAAACGTGGTCTTTTCGAACACTTGGAGAAGCGTCACAAAATTTTGAGAAAAAATTTCTTCGAGATAATGGATTTTTTTTTTCACTTCAATCAATCAATAAAATATTCATTAATGCATTTGCATAAATGTTGTTCCGCGTTAAAAGATTACAAAAGCATTCATTCTGCAAATACATTCGGGCAGCCTATCGCGCTGCAATTGTCGTTGCTTATAAAATTGGACAAGCCCTTTGTACCTAATAGTATTTTCAAGCTGCTTATTTCACTTGATTAAAGCAATAATTTTCGGTCAAAGGCCACTTGCTTCGTTAAAGGCTGAGCGAAATCAAATATTCATCAGGAACAAATAAGCTTATAGTCAGTGAAGTAAGACAAACCAAAATCTACTCTTTGGCTCAACACTAATACATTTACCTAACTTCAGAATATCAGAATTACACTTCACCGATATTCACCTAAATCTCTTACTACATTATTGAATTCCATAGAAATCGGACGTCATTTAATTGTTTTTTTTTTTTTTTTTTTTAAATTTGACGCGGTGATAGGAAAACTAGAAAACTGTATGAAATACGGGAAGTTATTTTTCTCCAAATCCATCGAATATTGCTTTCTTTTTTTTTTTACCGCTAAAAATACAAATAACGTTTTCCCATCTGCATCTTACTAAATGAAACTTCGTAAATAAAGCTCTCAAAATCGAAAACAACAACAATCGAACAAATTGACAATCAAAATTCCAGATTTATTGTAGGAAAAGAAAATGTACAAGCAAGTTTGCGACTACGATCGAAGTAAAATCGCATGGCATGACATCGGGTGAAATTTCTCGTACACCATCGTACACCAAATTAACCAGTGCTTGTATTTTGATCGGCTACATCTATTAGTGGATGTAGCCGATAAAGTAATGCGAA